ATTACTTTTTTTTTGCTTCTTTGCCTTTTGAATAAACACAACACACCTGAATTAAAGTGAAATGTTTTAAAACTAGGTTTCCTTTGTGTGGTGACTAATTGCAATTTAATGAAATATGGAATGACCCAGGGCACAGGCCTCTGGGCATGCCTGTGGAGGACTCCCATGGTTAGGTTAACTCCATGGGAAGACATGCCTGCTGGGCTGGGATTCTGGACTGTATAAAAAGGAAAAAGTGAGCTGAGCACAGGAACCCATCTGCCTCTGCCCCTGGATTGTAGGTCTAAGGATACCAACTGCTTACTCACCTGCTGCTGTGACGTCCCCACCGTTGTGGACTGTAACTTGGAACTATGAGCTGGAATAAATAATTTTTTCAAGTTTATTTGCCAAGCGTATTTTGTCACAGCAGCAGAAAAAGCAAAACACTTTGTCATTGGCTTGTGTTTTTGTTTGGTTGTTGTGCTGCAGACTGAATGCAGCTCTGACCTCTGCATGTGTTATGGCTATATATGCATGTGTTATGGCTATACATGCAGGCAAATAGCAAATAGGTGTGTCAAGTGAGAACAAGGCCCACAGAGACCAGAGGGGTTGGACCCTCTGCATCTGGAGTTCCAGGAGGTTATGAGATGCCTGCCATGGGTCCTGGGTCTCTAATCCAGGTTCTCTGAAAGAGCAGTGCTTGCTAAGCCATCTCTCCAGTCCCCAATGGAAGAGAAGAATTTTAAACAACTACAGAGAGACATTAATGGTCACATACTGTAAAGGAGATACATTTGCTTTTCCAAATTCACCTTTGGTTTTCAGCGTTGTGTAAATGAATGTCTGATGGTGCAATATTAAACACTGTCGACAGAGGGTGCTAGAGACTCAACATGGCAGAAAAGGTCTATCCCCCACCCCCACACTATTCTGGTGGGCTTTTACTTGGGCACTCCTTGTGTAATGAATGATTTAATCAGAAACAGCAGTGGATGTGGCTTTAACAGCGTGGGCAGTATCATTAGTCTGGGTCCTACAGCGCATCCCACACAAGGAAACAAGTCTTGAGCAATATTATCAACCAGCTTGACCCAAGTGACAGGATGGCTCATTTTGCTTTTCAGCATGACACATCTGCGAAGAGGGAGCCTTCAGGAATTACGTGTACCATATTGAAACCGTGGACATGCCTGTGGGTGTTTTCTTGCTAACTGGTAAGGGAGGGCCAGGCCTACTGTGGGCGGTACCATCCCTGGGCAGGTGGGCTTGGGGTATGTAAGGTAGCTGAGCCTGTGAACAAGCCAGAGTTCCCATGGTTCCTGTCTGCTCCTGCTTGAATCCTGCTCTGACTTGCTTCAGCGATGGACGGTGATCCAAGGTGTTTAAGTCAAATGAACCCCTTTGCTCCCCAAGTTGCTTTGGTCGTGGTGCTTGTCACAGCAATGGAAAAGCAAACTAGAATAGTGGCCTAATACTCTGACTGCAGAAGGCACAGTCTTCTCAAGTGCACAAAGAGCAGTCTTCATGATAAGGCGTGTGCTGAGTCTGAAGACAAGGCTTAGCAACTTTAAATTCTGACAATATTCGAGGTGGCATATACAAGTTCAGTAAACCTTGTATTTCATTTGAAAACTCAGTAATACAGTGAGTGTTTTGCTGGGGACAGCTACTTTACCTGTACAGAAGTTCTTGTTTTGTTTTACATTGATCATTAAAAAAAAAAAAAACCTTTAATCTCAAGGATTTGGGAGACAGATGGATCTCTATGAATTCAAGGCCAGCACATGGTGCATTTGAAAAAAAAATCAGTGTTGCATTTCTTTACAAGGAACTTACTTGAAATTTACAGCTAGTGTAGTGTGAGTGGACAGAGGTGAAGAATATCCAGAACTCAGTTTAGAAACAGCCTTGTTTCCTGATTGTCAGTCCTTTAACCTACCATTATATCTATCTATCCATCCATCATCCATCCATCCATCCATCATCCATCACCCACCCATCCATCCATCCATCCACCCGCCCATCCATCATCCATCCATCCACCCACCCAGCCACCCATCCATCCATCATCAACCCATCCATCATCCATCCATCCACCCACCCATCCATCCATCATCAACCCATCCATCATCCATCCATCCATCATCCATCCACCCATCCATCATCCATCCACCCATCCACCCACCCATCCATCCACCCATCCATCCACCCATCCATCATCCATCCACCCACCCATCCATCCACCCATCCATCCACCCATCCATCATCCATCCACCCATTCATCATCCATCCACCCATCCATCATCCATCCATCCATCCATCCATCCATCATCCATCCACCCATCCATCCATCCATCATCCATCCATCCATCCATCCATCATCCATCCACCCATCCATCATCCATCCATCCATCCATCATCCATCCACCCATCCATCCATCCATCCATCCATCATCCATCCACCCATCCATCATCCATCCATCATCAACCCATCCATCATCCATCCATCATCAACCCATCCATCCATCAATCCATCCACCCACCCATCCATCCATCATCCACCCATCCATCATCCATCCATCCATCCATCATCCATCCACCCATCCATCATCCATCCACCCATCCACCCACCCATCCATCCACCCATCCATCCACCCATCCATCATCCATCCACCCACCCATCCATCCACCCATCCATCCACCCATCCATCATCCATCCACCCATCCACCCACCCATCCATCCACCCATCCATCCACCCATCCATCATCCATCCACCCACCCATCCATCCACCCATCCATCCACCCATCCATCCACCCATCCATCCATCATCCATCCACCCATCCATCATCCATCCACCCATCCATCATCCATCCATCCATCCATCCATCATCCATCCACCCATCCATCCATCCATCCATCATCCATCCACCCATCCATCATCCATCCACCCATCCATCATCCATCCACCCACCCATCCACCCATCATCCATCCACCCATCCACCCATCATCCATCCACCCATCCACCCATCCATCCATCCACCCATCCATCATCCATCCACCCATCCATCCATCATCCATCCATCCATCCATCCACCCATCCATCATTCATCCACCCATCCATCATCCATCCACCCATCCATCATCCATCCACCCATCCATCCATCCATCATCCATCCACCCACCCATCCACCCATCATCCATCCACCCATCCACCCATCCATCCATCATCCATCCATCATCCATCCACCCATCCATCCATCCATCCACCCATCCATCATCCATCCACCCATCCATCCATCATCCATCCATCCATCCATCATCCATCCATGATGGAGGAAGGTCATTGGTAATAAACAAACTGCCTTGGCCCATTTTGATAGGCCATCCTTTAGGTGGGTGGAGTAGGCAGAACAGAACACTGGGAGGAAGAGGAAGTGAGGTCAGACGCCACAGCTCTCCTCTCGGGAGCAGACGCCTGAGAGAGATGCCATGCTCCTGGCTCCTGGGCAGACGCACGCTATGAAGCTCCAACCCAGGATGGACATAGGCTAGAATCTTCCTGGTAAGCGCACCTTGGGGTGCTACACACAGATGATTAGAAATGGGCTAAATTAATATGTGAGAATTAGCCTAGAAGAGAAATGGGCCAAGCGGTATTTAAAAGAATACAGTGTCCGTGTAATTATTTCGGGGCATAAGCTAGCCGAGCAGGCGGCTGGGGTGTTGGGGACGCAGCCCCGCCGTCCTTATTACTACACATCCACCCACCCATCCATCCACCCATCCATCCATCATCCATCCACCCATCCATCCATCATCCATCCACCCATCCATCCACCCATCCATCATCCATCCACCCATCCACCCATCATCCATCCATCCACCCATCATCCATTCATCCACCCATCCATCATCCATCCACCCATCCATCCATCCATCATCCATCCATCCACCCATCCATCATCCATCCACCCATCCATCCATCCATCATCTATCCATCCACCCATCCATCCATCCACCCACCCATCCATCCATCAATCCATCCATCCATCATTCATCCATCCATCCATCCATCCATATGTCCATCTATTGGTAGAATCTCACGTAGCCTACCCAGTCTCGCCTCAACTTGCTTTGTCGTCATGGGTGACCTTGAATTTCTGATCGCCCTACCTCCACCTCCCCAGCGCTGAGATAACCAGTACACGGCAGTTTCAGGTTTACTGGATCAACACCGGGCTTTCAAGGAGAACATTTACCGATGTGACTACAACCTCAGCCCTACTGTTGCTTTTAGCTCACCAGCACAAATGTTAATGTGAAAAGTCTCAATAATAGTATGTTTCTCGATATTTGGGCCTACAGGAATGGACTCCAGACCATGCACTTTGGAGATAGCCGCTCTGGTTGAATAGTATTGAGGCATATTAAGGTGCAAGTTCTATGTGGACCGCAGGTACCTTTGTCTAACAGTATAAATATCAAGCTCTGATAGTGAATAAATTGTATTTTATAAACAATGACACCTACTCATTTACTTTAATTCAGTCGGAATCTCCATACTTGGTGTGGAAATTTCCAAGGATTCTCACTATCAGGGTGCATGCCAGCTTTAAAAACAGGTTAAGTGGGGCAGTAGCCTGTACTTAAGAAAGCTATAGTTTGGTCAGGTATTTATTTGTACTGTCCAGACGTTATTGCCTTTTCCCCCCACTGCAGCCCAGGCCTCTTGATTCCTCCTCGATGTTCGTAGCCGACCAGCAGGAGCCGGGCTTCCTACGATGACGGACGCACAGAGTTTCAGGGGACAACCTCCGCTCCTCGACCCGCGGCAGCGGTGAAACATCTCTGGGGACACAGTGACGCCTAGCAGCAGCAGCCGCGACCAGGCCCGGAGGCTGGAGCAGCCGGGACCCGCGGGAGCCGCCGCGTTACCAGGGCGACACTTCCGGCCGGCGCGCGCAGCCCCCAGAGCAGGAGAGTCGCGCGGCGGGCGGCTAGACGTGCCCGGCGCCGCGAATTAGCCCGCGGGAGCGCGCTCGCGGCCGCGCGTCTGCGCTTCCCAAGCTCCGTCGCTGACGCGTCGTGGACGTTGGGGAGCGGGAAGGCAGCGGCAGCGGGGCCGGGATGAACAGCGGCGGCGGCTTCGGTTTGGGCTTAGGCTTCGGCCTCTTCCCTACGGCGGTGATTCAGGTGACGAACCTCTCGTCGGCGGTGACCAGCGAGCAGATGAGGACGCTCTTTTCCTTCCTAGGCGATATCGAGGAGCTGCGGCTCTACCCCCCAGAGTGAGTGCTGGAGCCCGGCGGGGGGAGGGGCGCGCCGCCATCGGGACCTCGGGCGCCGAGGCGTGGGGGGGGGGGGGGGGGAGAGAGAGCGCGGGCGTCACGTGACAGCGCGCTTCCCTAAGGCGGCCATGTTTGATGAGGGCACCGGGCCGCTTGCCCGGTTCCCGGCGTTGGGATTTTGTTGATTAACCTCGACGCGCGGTGCCTGCGAAGGACTTAGGAGTGGCTTCCCCTTCCGAGCCTCCGGGACTGTGGTTGATGTCCGGGCTTCGAACTGGGTGCCCCCAGCCCTTAGGTTCCCCCCGAACTTAAGATGGCTGCAGGTGGGCCCTCATGGCAAATGCTCATAACGTTTTTGCACTGGGAGAAATCGTGGAGAACGCCTGCAATGGCCCGGACCTCTAGGTTTTAGTGTCAGGGTGCTAGTGCTGTTGAGCGTGCCTTTGACAACATGGAATCAGGGCTGGTTTTGTTCCCCGGGGTGATCACAGACATTTACTATCTTTTTGGTGTTTCTCACCGAGCCCGTATCTACGATCTTAAAAGATCACGTCAATACCTCCTTTTGGCTGCAGCCTGAATTTTTCTCCTAGAAGGTCACACTGGCTCAAACCTTTCAAAAACTATAAGTCAGTGCGGAATTATCTCTGCTGCGTCTGTGTGTTTAAAAATCAGGGCTTAATTGGCATTTTTATGTCGAGATCGCTTCCCAGTTAGTGTACTTGAAGTGGTACATTTCCTTATACAATGTTAACTAATCAGATAACTCGTAATGGTTTTCCCGTTCTTAAAATTCTTATACTCACAAACTTTAAGAAAAATATTGCAGTATTTTGTTCTTTATGTTAAAATCATTTGAAGGAAAAGGGTACTTGTTACGATTTTTTTTTTGTAAAAGAATTCGTCTTATTTCGTATATAGAGCGTTTTTTTCTCCCTACTATCTATCTGTAAATATTGGAACCACTGCATATTGATGTCCTATGCATTTGAATATTTAATTTTAAATTAAATATTTTCTTTTTTCTTTTTTTTTTGATTTTTCGAGGCAGTTTTTTTTTCATGGAAATATTTCACGCATCCAGAAAAGTTGAAATACTACATTGAATGCCCATCCAATTCACTGATTTGTTAGTACAGTTGGTTATTAAAATTTCATTTGTTCTAGCTGGGTGTGGTGGCGCACGCCTTTAATCCCAGCACTCGTGAGGCAGAAGCAGGTGGATCTCTGAGTTCAGAGCCAGCCTGGTTTACAGAGTGAATTCCAGGACTTTTTTTTGTATAGGGAAACCCTATCTTGAAAAACAAAACAAAACAAAAGAGCTAACAACAAAAAAAAAGAGTTCATTTGTTCTAAAAGTGGGATTCTGCCTCCTCTCCTTTCTCTAGTGTATCTTCAAAGACCACGTGATTTTTCCCCGAGGTCTAGAATAGGCCCCTCCCTCGCTTTAAAAAAAGTTTTTCACGAAGTTGACCTTTTATGAGGTAGTATCTTGTAGAAGGACGTTTAGTCTGTGTTTAAACAGGTTACTGGATCATGCTGAGATTCAAGCAGTATATTTTTGATAAGAGTACTGCATAAACGCATGAGCACAAGGTTTGAGCCGTGACATTACAGTCTGTGCTGTCTTAGCGGCTGAAGGTGCTTTCAGCAATCTCACGTACTCAACAGTTAGCAATGAGGAGTGTGCTTGGGGAGGACCACGGCCTGGAAGGGTTGGAAGCCAGTCTGTAAAATACTCTGCCTTTGAGCTCTTTTTTTTTGGGGGGGGGGGTTCGAGACGGGGGTTTCTCTGTAGCTTTGGTGCCTGTCCCGGAACTAGCTCTTGTAGACCAGGCTGGCCTCGAACTCCCAGAGATCCGCCTGCCTCTGCCTCCCGAGAGCTGGGATTAAAGGCGTGCGCCACCACCGCCCGGCTCTTTGAGCTCTTGTAAATTAACTTTGGGACCGTAGAGTATTGAGGAAATATGTCACAGAATAGACTTCGTTCCCAGTGAGTCGCCATTGGTGTGGTGCTTGGAACTTGGGTTCAGGTGGCAGCACTGCCAGGTATTAACGACAGCTGGGAAGATGCACCTTGAAGAGTCTACCCTCTTTCCTTTTCCTGCTTGGGAAAATGTTATTATTTGGGGTTTAAAGGTCAAAGGGAATGAAAAGGGTTGCTATTTGTATTAAAATAGAGTCATTATGTCACAAAGTAATCAATTCCTTTGGCAAAGTTGTTGCCAGACAAATGTTTACCTTTCACAAGTGCAGGAGTGGAGCCTGGTTCTGGTTTTGCAGGGACACTGACAACATTCCTGGCAGGTTTTCCTCTCCATGATGCAGTTATGCAGTTTGGTGCAGTCAGTAGAATGTTTGTCAAACACAGTGATAGTTGTTTTGATTGTCATATAGACATTGTTTTGTGATTAATATTTAGAAGTTGAGTGGTTATTCGCTTTAAAATTGGAAATACATTTCTTTAGTGAAATGTGAAAATAGCCCTATTTTGTGCTCCACCGTGTTTTTAAAGCAGTCTGTCATGACCCTGAAACCGGCTTAGCTGGCTAACTCTAGGGATCTGCTGGGTTCCATTCCCTGGTGCTGCAGAGGCATACCCCACACCTTGCTTTTCTGTGAGTGCCAGGATCCTACAGATCCTTCTGAAGGCTTTGTGGAAAGTGCTGTACTGTTTCCCCAGGGGCCAGTTTCATTGGAATTTTTAAACTAAGCATTCCTGTAAACAAGTCAGTAACATGGCTCACCAGGTGAAAAGGCTTGCCTCTTAAGCCTGCTGTCTTTAGTTCAGTCTCAACCACCGTGGAAGGAGAAGTCAGCTCCTGAAGGTTAGACTCTTGACATCTCTGTACAGTTCACCCTGTGTGCACACGCTTGCACAGACAGTACAGAACATTAAAGAAGAGATTATGTAGACATTCATTAACATCATTCTTTTTTGTGTTGCCACATAATTAAGTACCCAGAATTACTGTCCAATTTTTTGCACAATAGTTGAATTTCATAGTGTATGAAAACCTATTTAAACAAATTGCTTTTTTCAGTAAGCTTTCATTGTGAGAAAATATTCATACAGAAAAATGGACGTCATGGTGTGCAGCTCAATGAATTTTTACAGAGTTAAACAGAGCAATGGAGCAAGCACACAGTGGGGAAGTACCTGCGTCCTCCAAGTTCCCCTGTGCCCTCCTTCAGTTGACTCCCCCATTACCCCACCACCACCACCCCTGCCCCCAAGGGTAATTCTTTTGATTTCTAACACTAGGGAGATTTTCACCTGCAGTTTTTCTTGCTTGCTCTGGTTTTCAAGTTCAAAGAACCAAAGTTAAAGTGTCTAACTACTTAAAGTAACTTAATTAAAGAAATAACATGCTGTGTCTGCTAGATTTTGTTGCCATGGCAAAACACCTAAGATCGTAAAGCAAGGAGTTACTTTGGCTCAGGATTTCAGAGGTTTCAGTCTGTGCTGACTGGCTCTGATTCAGCCTGTAGCCAGGCTGCTGGAAGGAGCCAGCGACAAGATAAAATCTCCTTAAAGCTACAGCCTAGTGTTTTAGCCCAGCCCCCACCTCCTAATACTAATAGTGCATTCACCTGTTTAAGTAACACCAGCAGTTGAAGACCCAGCCTTCAACACACCAGAGCCCTTTTGGGTGGGGGGGGGGCTGTTTCATAACCTAGCTTTAGCAGCCATTTTATGTAGAATGGAGAACAAGAAAGTCTGTAATTTTTTTTTCTTTTTTGGTTAAAGTCTGTGATCTTAGCATCACCCCACCAAACTCCTTCCATTAGCATGTTTTTCCTTCTGGCTCCCTGTATGTGCTTATTATAATACAGTGTAATCAAAGGATTTATACACTGTGATTATAAGCCTTTTTTACTTAATCTGTAATAAGCATTTTGCATATTACTGTGCTTTACAGTAATATTTAAAGACACGTCCTGTGTTGAGTGTTTTTTAAAATTCTGTCATATGTTGGCCATCGTTTTAATTTTTAATTACAAATGAAGGAGTTTAAACTAGGTGCATTTGGAAGTGTTTGATCTTCAGTAGTGACTGGAAGGGCTGTAGGCAGTGTCAGCAGTTCATAAGAACGGCTTAGAACTGTCCCATCTAAAGCACTATTGGAGTCCTTAGATAATTCATGAATAAAATTATTTGTTCGTGTGATTCTGATAGTCTTTAAAACGGGGATTGCCAAGACCATTGGAAAACAGATATTTGCTTTATGATTTATAACAGTAGCAAAATTATACTTATGAAGTAGCAACAACAATAATTTTATGGTTGGGGTCACCACAACATGAGGAGCTGTCGTAAAGGGTCTCAGCATTAGGAAGGTTGAGAACCACTGTACTATATACCTTACGTGTATGTACCATGGTTGTGTTCTTTAGAATAGACCACTTTTAGATCCGTTCCCAGGTTTCTCAATCTTACTGGTAGACCTTTCATGTAGTTTCTTTAAAAATTGGGCTGGTTTACTGTGTCCATAAATATTAAATTTAAAGTGAAGTAGAGATATTGAGGATACATTTTTCATTTTCAGTAGTGACAATTTAGGTATGCATTTTTTTCACAAAAAGGTCTGCCAACTTATGAAATGTAGCTCTAGTGATGGATGGCTTCTTGATTAGAGAGAGGGCTGAACATATTCCTGTTTCAATTCCTAGGGCTTTAGTAGGCTTTTGACTCGCTTTAGCTGGGAAGGACAGAAAGTGTTACCTATCTCCTGTACTGGTGTTTGTTAAAAAAGATCTTTGCTAAACTGAAGAATAAAGGCTGTAATGGCCATAGAGCAGTGAGGCTTCCTGGGTCCAGGGACTGGGAATCAGAAAGGTAGCTGCAATCAAAGTGACTCTGCCTTTTTCTCTCAAGAGGCTGTTTGTCTTTGTGTATCTTCTTTGTTTCTTTATGGACCTACTCTCTACTCCCGCATCTGACACAAGCCTCTTTCTAGAAAGAATCTGATAGTTCTGAGTTTGTCTTTTCAAGCCTGCCTACCCAAATTAGGTGGTGTGTTCAGCCAGTGAAGTGGACTCTTGTGGAAGGGGCTAGAGAAACTTATAGAATGTGTTGGGGGGGGTGTTCAAATAAATTGTGCTAATGCCCCGCTGAAGCTGCATATGGTGCTCAGCGAGGGCTGCCTGAAGCCTGTGATGTCTTTAGATGGTTTCAGAGGATTGAGACTTGAGTCTTAAAGAAAGGTGGAATTAGTGTAAAGGAGAGACAGAGAGGAAATCAGATTCCCTGAGTACAGCAGCATGCCCAGAGTCCCCATGCCCAGAATATATGTCTGCAGTTTTGGATATATATAAAATGAAGCCGGAACACAAAGGCGCCTCCAAGGAAATGTAATCTTAAGGGATGTGATGCAATTTAGGGTTTAAGGATCACACTGGCACTTTTGTGGAAGACCATTAATAAGGGATTAAAGTTAGACAAAGAGTGATTGACTTGGTAACTGTAAAATGATCCAGGTGTGCATTGCTGAGGTCCTGAACTCAGACCTCAGTAGTGAGAATGAGGAAGGACTTACCTAGGATGACTTGTATTTGGGAGATGAGGAAGTTGGAAAGGCCAAGGATTAGGAGTGACTCAGGATTGGCAATTCAAAGCTCAGTTTGACAAGAGAGGTTATTTCCTAACACGCCTTGGTGGTTCTCACTGAGAACTGGCCTCAGTGAAACACTCTGAGATGAAGTGAACCATCAGCTTTCTGTCTCTGGAACATTGCCGGTGGCTGTGGCAGAGGAAAGGGGCTAAGCTGTGGCATCTAAGGCTTCTGCAGAACCCAGATGTTAGTTCTGTTGATCCACCAAGGCAAATTATTTGGACACAACTAAGTTCATGAAGTAGAAAAGTCTAATTTTACCGTGCACTTAGAAGGAGCATTGACAATTTTGGTGAATAGTGTCAGTTACTGTAAAACTAGTGACTCCCAGATACCAGAACAGAGAATGTCCTGTTACTTTTAACTAAACAGAAAATATAGGATACTGGCGGGACTGAAAAGCAGAAAAGGCAGTGAATGGATTGTGAGCTGAGATAAGGGTGCATCAAAGTGTACTATTCAGCAGGCAGACTCTTGGATGTGGCTGTTCAGATCTCAGGACAGACCTATAGAGGTGTGGTCGTGTAAAGGTGGTGGCTTAAATCTGAATGGGGTGTTTACTTATGTGACACCAGGTGATTGATTGCTGAGGAGGGGTTTTTAGTGAGAGCTGCTGTGAATTGGTGACCTTAGGTGGGTGAGAGAGAGGAAATTGAGCCGACTAGGAAAGAATTTGTAGTTTTAAAAACTACTTAAAGGGCTGGAGAGATGACTCAGTGGTTAAGAGCATTGCCTGTTCTTCTAAGGGTCCTGAGTTCAATTCCCAGCAACCACATGGTGGCTCACAACCATCTGTAATGAGATCTGGTGCCCTCTTCTGGCCTGCAGGCATACACGCAGACAGGATATTGTATACATAATAAATAAATAAATATTTAAGAAAAACTTAAGTGGTCCCACTACTTATATACTTATATTTATAATATTGACTTAAGTTTTAAATGCAAATATTATTACAGTGTTTGGATATCAGTCTTTTGCTGTGATAAAGGCAGCTTGAGAAAGGAAGGTTTTATTTTGGTTTATAGTTCTAGGGTTATGGTCCATTATGGAGGAGAAGATTTGGTAGCAGAAACAGGAGGTAGGTGGTCACATTAAGTCCACTGTAAGGAAGCAGAGACCTTAATGCTGTGCTCACTTGGCTCTCTCCTTTTTATGTTGTATATAGAACCTTAGCCCAGAGAATGTTACCCCTTCAACCACTGTAATCCAGATAATATGGAGTAGAACTGTCTCTTAGTGTTTGTGGATCCAGTTAGTTAGACTAGCAATGCTAACCATCACAGGTTAACAGTGTAACTGTAGCTTTAACCATTTAATGTCATTCTACATTGTTTCTACATTGCTTATGTGAAGGATTATAGAGAACAGATTTAGTAATAAATGACTGTGTAGGGGACTGGAAAGATGACTCAGTGGTTAGAGCACACACTAGTGTTAGGTTCTCCATGCCCTCTTAGGCAGCTCACTTGGGACTCCAGTTCCAGCCTTCTTCTGGATCTGATTGCCACCAGCATTCACATAGGTACACACACTTAAAAATAACATGTCTTTTTAAAGGGGTGAATTTATAGCCAGGTGGTGGTGGCACATGCCTTTCATCCAAGCATTCAGGAGGCAGAGGCAGGTGGATCTTTGTGAGTTTGAGGCCAGCCTGGGCTACAAAGCAAATTCCAGGACAGGCACCAAAGCTACGCAGAGAAACCCTGTCTTAAAAAAAAACAAAAACAAACAACAACAACAAAGGTGACCTTGTAATTACTGGTTAAACAGTTATTCAGTGTTTTAATGAGTAGTATCGATAACCCATGAAGGCAGTGATTTTATGTAATATAACAAGATCCTATTATAGACAAACTCTTTTCAACATGCTGTTTCCTTTTTATTATAGGTCTGTCTAGATTGAATTGAATTGAATCAAATGGTTTAGAATGTCTACTGTTTTGCAAAATAAATTACATAAAATTTGTTTGTAAGAACCTTTTGTTTTTTTGTCCGAAAAGCACATTTCTCTGTAGCCTGAAGCCATCTGGTATATACAAAAACTCCTTGTTTAATTCTGTATTACCTGATTGTCTGATTATTCTGAAGTTTTCAGTGATTTCTTTTTCCGTTGTTGGCAGTGAACCTAGGACCTCCCGTGCTACTACTAGCTATGACTTTAGCTCTGTTTTTAGGATATAAATGTTGGGTAATCAGTTAGGATTGGGAGAGACGTCTTGAGAACTGGATCTTCTAAAGAGATTTTACCAGAGAATATGTTAGCTGTTTTCAGATGTCACTCAAGGACTGATTGATTTTAAATTTCACTTGTCAGGTTTTGTAGATAGCCCTAGATTGACTTCTGCTTTGTCAGACAAGTCAGCAGTAAATGACTGAAATTTGTCTTCAGCCCATGAAAATTACCTAAGTCTGGTGAGAGAAAGTAATTGCAAATGAAAATTATAAAACTATGCAAATGTTTATTAATCCATTTGTTTTCTTTTTATCTTGCAGCAACACACCTCTTGCTTTTTCCTCCAAAGTATGTTATATTAAGTTTCGTGACCCATCAAGTGTTGGTGTGGCCCAGCATCTAACTAACACGGTTTTTATTGACAGAGCTCTGATAGTAGTTCCTTGTGCCGAAGGTTGGTATCGCATGTTTTTTTTTTTATTGTTTTAATATCTGTCCTGTGTGTTTGACTTTTCTAGAAATTGGCCAGTACTCTAAAAACACACCAGATAGAAAATTATACTGAAGTGGTTAGTTCATTATTCATGGATATTTGAAATTTTACAACTGGACACTTAGAAAATTTATTGCGTATTTGCCTTTTATAGTTGGCTTTGGCTTTTCTGTAACCAATTTGCAGATTGTAAGAAGAGCTTTCGACTTTAAAAACTTAAGTTGGTATGGAAAAGTATTTAAAATGCTTATGTAAGTGTATACTAATGGGACAGAATTAAGAGTTTCCCAAGCAAAATGCTACACATTCAGCCAAATTGGGGTTGTGACATTTTTATATTCATTTGAAAAATGCTCAGTTTATTTTTTCAAATATCCTCTTAAGGTAGTTTTTCTCAATTGTTACAAGACTATATGGTTTTATATTTAGTCTAATTTTTGCTATACACTTAGAACTTTTTTCTTTGATTGGCTTTTATTGGGGAGGAGGGTAACTGGAAAGCAATTTTTAAAACCTCCATCAAGGAGTGATGTCAAAGGTGGGAGCAGGGCCAAAGACCTTCTAGTTATCTGTTAAATTTTATGTCTTGCAGTGCTTTAAGAGCCAACTATTAAAAAATTTTAGGTTTTCCCAGAGTCATTCGTGTATAATTAATTGGTTTCTGATTTCGACAATTTTAATGTACAATTAACTTAGAGTACTGACTGACTTACATAAATTTTAAAATTTGGTTATTTTCTAAATTTAAATGTCCTCAGAAATGAACTTTTTTTTTTGCTGACTGATAGTAACTATTTTATAGCATAAAAGTATGCTAGAAACAATTTAATAGGCTTTTCATGTGTGATTTTAAAACTTGTTGTAATTACTAAGTTAACATTAAAATCACTTAGTGCATCAGGAATTTGTTGCACTCTGTGAGTTTTATGCTTGTTTCAGAACGCTTGCTTTAGAATGTTAAGAGCTATATAGCTCTTTCTAGACAGATAATTTTGAAATTCCAGAACAGGAAGTTCTGGTTCCTTTTTTTTTAACCCCCAGATAAATTAAAAGCATATCTCTCATGTTTCAGGGGTTAGAGTAGAGAGGGAAGATGGAGTGAAGTAAATTATTTGCCAAGTAGGTTTTTATCTGACACTCTTTGAGCGTAGTGAGCACTTACTTGGGGAGTAAGATGGGAGAGGAAGAGATATGAATTCTACAAAGTTTCATGCCATGAAACTGCACAGGAACTATTCAGTAGATTTCTTAACTGGAAATATCATAAGATTATAGCATAGGCTTTTATCATTACTGATTTTGAAAGAGGAGTTTTAAATCATTGGAACCTTGCTGTAATCCCATACAGTCAGAGAAGCTCTGGTTTGTAAGGAACTGTCAAGGTTATGAGCACATGGAAGTCTGTTGTTTATTTTACTTGGTAGAAATTTATAAAAACACAATCAGTTACAGCTCCTTAAATATTTTTATGCTATCATTTTGAAAGAAAATTTTTACCAATTTTGGACATGCAAATCTAAACATTTACTGCATTTTGTAGTTCCATGTTTATATTGGGAAGAAACTGATACACATTTTTTATTAGTTTTGTCAAATACAACTGATGAATTTCACAGCTGTTAAGCCTGATTATGCACTGCCAACAAAGAAGTAATGCATTGCTCTATTAAAAAGGAGCGTGAGAGAAGCAAACGAAGGGAAGTGTGAGTGGAGGAAACTCTGAGTGGAGGTGTGGGTGCTTTGTGTGCCCTGTGCACTTGACTCACTGCTCGCCTCCACGCCTTAGGAACAGCATTGTGGTGTAAATGGAAAAGGCCATGTAAAACATTTTACCTGGGTTTTCAGTTTCTTTCAGTTTGCTGGGTTTTAGTTCAGACAGTAATGTAGAAGAGGGTGGAAAAAAGTGGTATTGATACCTATTGAGCATGAACTGTTGCTAATAAAACATGCCATTTTGAATAAAATATACTTTCATTATACTTGTCTAGATATGACCTTTTTTTGTTGTTGCGTACATTTCAGATTTCCTTTTATAAATGTTAACACTTAGAAAAAATAAGATCAATATAGCAGGTGTCAGCCTAATCATCAGTCATAACTTTATGTCCACATTTTCTGGTAGATGGATTTTGACTATTAATTTGGTTTTGTATGTTTTCTCTATGTGATATTTGTGCATTATTAGATGACTAGACTGGCCAAGGCAGACCTGTTACACTTGCCTGAGTCAGGCATTGTTTGCCATGCCACTAAACCTGCCGCCAAGTGAAATCTTCATTGGGGAAATGAGATCGGAGTCTGAACCGCAGAAGATGGACGCCCTGTCTCTGTTTTTATTGTTTTACTTTCATTTCTTTTTATTTTGTCCCTTTTTTTGTTTTGTTTTGTTTTTGTTTTTGTTTTGTTAAATCTCTCTCACTTTTAGCTTGTGAGCTGGTTTTCCAGTTCTTTGTAAATGGTATTCCATTAAGAATTCATAACGTGTTGCAAATTTATGGGGGAATGATTAACAGAACTCAACCTCGAGATGAACTAAATTGTCATGCAGTAAGTTAGAGTGCAGTGCTGGGAAGATGCTCAGGGCCTTTTAATTGGTGTTTGTGGGTTGAGGTACATTTTGATCTTCAAACATTAAAACGCTTACTGGAATCGTAGGAACATTTTCTGATGGGCTCAGTGCTTATTATTTTCCCCAAGTCTACATCTCTCATAAACCCAACTGATGGCTTCAATTTTTATCCTTCCCCTAGAACTATAGGCATATAAAACCAGCAAGGAAAATTAAGTACATTTCTTTTAACAACCTGAAGGTAGGGGGAGGTCTTTGACTTTTATTAGCTTGGTCTTTAAGAAGCCTTTTGTTGCCTCTGTGGGGAATGGATATTAGAGAAAACTATTGGTTATTTATTTGCATGCATTTATTTTTTGTTTGCTTGAATTTTTTTTTTTTTTTTTTGTTGAGAATTCTTCAGAGGTTACTAGCTTTTTACATGGATTCTGAAGTCAGGACTCACAGTAGCGTGAGAGATGTTTCCCTTAGTTTTCTTTGAAGTATAGTTTGGGGAAAATGCTAAATGCTTATGTGTTTTATACTTCTATATACTCTGGTAGAATGTTAGAGGATAAATTTTATTTTGGAAATAAAGCAATGGAACTTTTCTTAAAATATCTTTAATAGAATAAGACAGAAATAATATTCAGCTTATAGTTATTGATTTTTAACAGTTTGTTGTCATGAACAGCAGGGAGAATCTGATAGCCTGCTGATACTTAAGATAGAACTGAGGCCACACAGTACTAAGTAATGAGCTTGGCTCATGATTGTGTAGCCTCTGTACCGTATGAATAGCTGGATTTGGTTACTGACAAATAATATTAAACCTAGAACTCTTTGAGGTGCGTGAATTAGGGTAATGAAGCATAGTGTGCCCACCTCAGGACAGCAGTTACTCATCAGATGTGTTCAGGTTTTAAACCTTAAAAAGTACTCTATATTTCTAATAGATAAAATGAATGTGATAATTATTATAATAGTATAGTATATGTGGCATATATAGATTTATAGTAATAGTGGTAACTGATAGTTCATTGTTATTTGATATCTTCAGTAAGGCCTACCTTGTTATCATTCTGCATGTTATGAAATTTATTCTCCAGAAGTTAAAGTAATAGCATCGTTTTTGAAATTAGTTAAATTAAATTTAGATGCTGTAAAATTAGAAAGTATGCATTTGCCCAAACCCCTAAACCAATTCTAATTTTCTTTCTATAGATAAGCTATAACCATTATCTAAAGTTTTAAATTCCAACTTGAATTCCATCCATCCTTAGAGATCTTTCCAGAAAAAGTTGTTTGGAGATTTCTCTCTTACATCTGGTTGTATTAAATAGGATTTTACCATTGAAAGCAGGCATAATACTTTTGAAAACTTGCCATATGTATTTCAGTCTTTGTAATTTTTTTTAAAGTACAGTTTTAAGATATTCTTAATTGATAATAGAAATGGTTATTTATATATGCAATCAAGTTTGAGAAATATTTTTTTTTGCTAAAAAGTTAGGGGAAATGTGAAAGTTTTAGTTTGTCAGGTTTTTTTTTTAAATTCAGAAACTAAATATGGTAGGACATGAACTTCAAAGTAGATTTTCCATTTTTTTAAGTTGCAGGCATTTTTCTTCTTCTAAAGTGATTTTAGTTTATTCTGTTAGAAAGTTACAGACTTTATAAGAAAAGCATTTTTAAGTACTAGTTACTATTATTCAGATAAGTATACATAAGTTGCATCTGAAAGTTAGAATTTTTTTTTTATCAGTTGCCTAAGGATCTTTGGGATTGGATTCTTTCTGGCATTACTGATGTTGGTGAGGTGCCTTTTTGATGAATGGGTGTGGACCATTGAAGTTGATTGCATGTTGTAGTTTCCTGTTTCTTTTGTTTATCTGAATTGAATGGAGGTGGAGAATTGTTAGAATTGTCTGCTCACAGTGGGTAGCTTCAGTACAGGGTAGAGACACTCATTATGGAGCAAATTTCAATTCGCACATATTTGTTTTTTTCTTTTTCTTTTTTTTTTTTGACTAATTTGGTTATTTGCCATTTCTGGGGATTAAACTTTAAAAAATGTTCTTCTTTTCTGTATCTGATGTTCTGTGTGCTATTAGTGACGCAGCCAACACGAACGGTTGTCATGTGTAACACAACTTTCGATCACCGCGAAAACAGCGTCCTGGGAAAGCGTCCATGCTTGATATCGTTTGGTTCATGAACATTAAGTTTCCAGTACAGGTGACCCATAGCTCAAAGTGTTAAATAATTGTCTACATTATTCAGTTTTTAAAAATAATATTCCATTAATGAGATTGTTAGTCTTTGAAGTTTTGCTCACTTTTATTTTTCCTAGTAGAGCAGGATAAAAGGAAAGACTTATGTTCTTATTTGTTTCTTTGTACGGATCTGCTAGATAGATTCATTTATTATTATTATTTTTTAAGTGCAAGGGTAATTGTAAAATCATAGTGTAAAGTTGGTGTGGTGTTTCTGCTCGCCATAATATTTGGAACTTGCCTCTGCAGGTAAAATCCCAGAGGAAGCCAAAGCCCTTTCTTTACTGGCTCCTGCTCCAACCATGACAAGCCTGGTGCCTGGTGCAGGATTGCTTCCCATCCCGACCTCCAGCCCTCTGACGGCAGTGAGTAGTGTAAGTCTTCTTGGTGGGTGAGCACTGACTGTGAAAACTGGTGAGGAAGGAGGGGGAAGTTGTTTTCACCTTGTGTTAGTTAGTGACACCATCCAAAGTCCATACATAAGAACTTACCCCACATCATCTTACTTGAGCTTGTTTTGGGGATTACTCTGAAATAATTGGGACTTGTTTAAATTTGAGGATTCAAAAAGGGTTATTTGTTAGAAAAATCATTTCCAGGACTTGGTGCTTTAGATAGCACAGACTAGATCACTCCCCAGTTCAAGAGGACCAGGACTAAGAAATTTAAACAGGAACTTCGTGTTAGTCATGGGAGTGCCTGGTGACTGAGAAGATGAAACAAGGTTTGACAAACACCTGAGATTTTTCTGTGTAGAATTAAACATAATTAGTATCTTGTGATTTCTTAGTAAAAGACTAACTTAATTATTACTGGACTTTTAGTTTTTGCATGAACTATCCAGTCATACTCCTTTTAAAGGAGGGCCATTCGACAGGTAAGGACTGTGACTAGTGTTTCCTAGGGAGCGCACAAACTTTGTGACTGTGATGGTCAGTTTGTCCTGATTAAAGAAGTGGTTTCTGAAACTTTGAATCTTGCCCAGCATTCTTCTCTGGAGACCTGCACTATGATCCATGGAGCGACGTGATTTTTACCCTCCCCCCAAATGGTTTTCTCCTTGTGTAGCCCTGGCTGTCCTGGAGCATTCTCTGTAGTCCAGGCTGACTTTGAACTCAAAGATACCTGTCTGTTTCTGCCTCCCAAGTGCTGGGATTAAAGGCGTGTGCTACTACTGCCAGCTTTTGCAAATTTTTTTTCTTCCTCGAAATGATTTTTAATTGAACTTCTGTGTTTGAGGAACCCATGCTGGTCAGTTTGGCTGCAGCATAGTGAGGAGAGAGAACCAGGTGTAGGGGGTGGATAGGATACTGACTTTGTAGGGCTTTTTAGGTCATAGAGAGGCATTTGGATTTTATTTTAAACTTGATTAGACTCTAGCATGTTTTCCAAAGAATAAGACTGGCCACTATGAAAAGAGTAAATGACGTTGATTTTTTTCATCTTTAGGAACTGCTTTTATTTAATAGTTGTTAAATCTTGGTCATTTACAATATATTTGCACATATTGTTAGTTAATCAGTTTTATGGAGTAGCACAAGGAGAAATGAAAGTGGTTGTATTTTTTCCTTGAAAAAAATCTTTTGTTTTGCCAAATGTTTTCAAGTCCTGAGATCTTCTATCTCTTCTAGTTTAAATATACCTTAAAATAAACATGTTTCCTAATATATGTTCTGAAAACTGATTTTATGAATGTCCTAGAAAAATTATCCATCCCATGGAGCCTGGAAAGATGACTTGACAGTTGAGAGCACTTACTGCTCTTGCAGGACCTGGGTTTGGTTCTGAGTACCTTTGTTGTGAGGTGCCTTACAGTCTTCTGGAATTCCAGTTCTAGGGATCCAGTACCTTCTTTTGGCACCTTTGTGGTGCATATAAACTCATAAATGTACACATAAACGTTTAAAATTTCATAAAAGATGACAGTGTTTTTTGTTTTTGTTTTTTTGTTGTTACACCTGTGAGCCACCTTGCTTGAGTTAAGTTTTTCTTAATAAAATTGGATTTAGTAGTACTGATCTCTTAGTGTTGATAACAAGGATTATTTTTTAACTTATTCACTTAGTAATTGTGGACACATACTCTAGAGTAATAATAACTTCAGTCACATGGTGCGCATATTTCCAAGCACCTCCTTGCCCTGTTTCAGTACTCATGCTGCAGACGAGTGTGATTGTAGTTTCTTTTAAGTGTTTGAAGTTTTGTTCTTTTTCTTTCAGTATGTGATTTTGCTCTTTAAATAGTTTCCCACACACAGTGCTTTTTTTTTTTTTTTAAAAAAAGAAGCTTAGTCCTTAATGATGAAAATGTAGAAAAGCTTCAGAGTTACTTTGCTGACCGTGTATGCATTCTGTGTTAACATGTATTGACTGAGGGAGCATCAGACAGAAAGGCACTGTACTGAATGCTTGATGGACAGGGGGTATTGTGACTCCAGGCTCTTAGAAACTTAACCTTATCTCTTTCCTACAGTGTATTTTATGGAAATAATAGAATGCAGCTACCTTGGAGGTTAAAAATTAGTGTTCATTTTTAGTGTCAGTTTAAAGGTAGTTAAAAACGTTGCTATTAAAAACTAATATGATTTCACGCTTAATAATTGAGATACGTGTAGCTTAAAGCAAGGGGTCCTTTTATACCTACCATTCATGATGAGTTGATCTCCTGGTAGCAACAATAGTTGGAACACTATTGAAAACTGTGCCTTATGGTTTACTTTTGTTTTTTTTATAGCTTGGTGTTTCACTTAGCAGTTTGGGAGCCATACCGGCAGCAGCACTGGACCCCAATATTACAACACTTGGAGAGATCCCACAGCCACCACTTATGGGAAATGTGGATCCTTCCAAAATTGATGAAATTAGGAGAACAGTCTATGTTGGAAATTTGAATTCGCAGGTAACTAGGAAGAAACTGAGTGGCACTATCTGCTTATTCATTCTTCTTACAAATTCTGTTGATAAAGTATTATTTACTTATTTTTAAATTTTATTTTTATTAGCATATTTTATATAATAGGTTTCATTATGGTTTTTATGCATGCATATATTTTGATGGTATTCATTTTTCCCACTATTCTCTTGTGACTACCTCACCCCATTGGTCCCCTTTCTCCTCCCAGCTAGTCCCCCTTCTACTCTCATGTGTATCTTGTGACCCAGGAAGTGTAATCAGGATCTTAAAGGAGCATAGGTAAGGGGCCGTTGACAGCAGCCTGGGAACCTTGCCAGTGGCCCCATCACTAAAGAAAAAGTACTTCCCTCTCCCTACAAGCATTAGCTGCTTTATTTACCTGATTTTAGAAAGAAAAAAAGATTATACTGTATTAAAGTGTCACTCTGCTTCCTCAGACAACAACAGCTGATCAACTACTTGAATTTTTTAAACAAGTTGGAGAAGTGAAGTTTGTTCGGATGGCAGGTGATGAGACTCAGCCAACTCGGTTTGCTTTTGTGGAATTTGCAGACCAAAATTCTGTACCAAGGGCCCTTGCTTTTAATGGAGTTATGTTTGGAGACAGGCCACTGAAGTAAGAAATCTTCCAACAAAGAAATTTTAATGGCTTTGAAAAAGTTTTAACATGTTTGATTTAATTAAGGCTTTAAAAAGAATAGTTATTGGCAATTTGTGGATAGGAAGAAACTATTAAGTATAAATGAAATGCATGACACCATAGCATGTTATATTTGAAGACATCTCTTTCTTCTGTGTTTAATATCTAGTTAGCCATTAACTCTTTGTATATAATACATAATGGCTTCAGGTATTTTTCTGTATAGTTCTGTAAGTCATGTTTGTTTTGTGAAGATTGCGGATTAAGGGTAACTTGTAGTCGAACTACAGAACTTCTTGTAATAAGAATATCACTTTTCAGATACTCAAGACCAGAAATTGTGTATTTCATAGATTATTAAAGTAAATGTGGGTTTGAGTTTTATAGGTTATCTCTTAATTAATAGTTTGATGGGATTTTAGTCTTAAAAGATAAGTCACTGTTATATGCTCAGTCTTCTCTGGAGAATGGGTAAAGAGACAAAGCAGGTGTGCCTGTATGTCACAAGAACCACCTTACCTACTAGGGGAGGTTACCAGATACCTTTCAACTCTGAAGCTGTGCCTGACTCAGATATGGGACAGTACTTAGCTTCCCTTTAATTCTGTTGGGGTATGCAAGTTATTAGCAGAATCTAATTAAGAATAGAAATGTTCCCTTGCCTGGTGATGGTGGTACACACCTTTAATCACAGCACTCGGGAGATCGAGGCCAGCCTGGTCTACAGAGTTAGTTTAGTTCTAGGATAGCCAGTTCTGTGCAGTAAACGATGACTCCATAAAAACCAGCAGGGTTGGGGGAGAAGTGGTCCATTTTAATCCTGGTATCAGCATTGTTATTTTTCTAAGGTATATGCATAAGCACTTGTAATTGTTTATTGTAATTCAATTGTCTATTCAATTGTTGAAGAAGTTAGATAGACTTCAGTTTTTCTTACTTTTTTCTTTGCTTAGCAAGAACTGATGGTAGGTTTAGATGAGCGATTAATCATGGTTTTCTGAGACTGCTGTTGGCTATTCTGTATTTAGTTATTTTATTTCCTTATGTGCTGTTGCAATACCCTCAGGTTCATAAATGTGTATATCTACTAACAATTGTTTCATGTTTTATAAACTATGGTGTGTTTGTGATATACTAATATTTTTAATTTAGAATAAATCACTCCAACAATGCAATAGTAAAACCTCCTGAGATGACACCTCAGGCTGCAGCTAAGGAGTTAGAAGAAGTAATGAAGCGAGTACGGGAAGCTCAGTCATTTATCTCAGCAGCTATTGAACCAGGTAAGGCCACAGTGCTGTTGTGTAGTCAGAGAGAGTCTTAGGACTGGAAGGAATTTTAGGATTATACTGCTCAGTTCCTTCAGTGTACAAATAAGAAGACTGAAACTCAAGAAATAGTAAGTGGATTATTCAGAATAAGTCAGCAAAAACCGACATTTCCCTAATACTGAGCTGACACACTTTAACTTAGTGAGTTTTCTATGGCAACAAGTCAGTGTTGAGGTTGGTTTGCCAGAAACAGTATGAGTGTTATTATAAGGCTAAAAAGGAAAGAAAAAAATGTGTAAAATGTTAAAAATAGGCAGCTTGACTTTCCCTCAAAGTTTTAATTTTAAGACGAGAAAGGGCATATGATTTCAAAAAACACACTCAGTCTTACAAGATTAAAGGAAAACTGACTCATTTTGTGTTGCTAAGTGCTGTAAAATCCACTCTAAAAATGTCTATGTGATTTAGCTTTAATTAGATTTCCTAAATTAACACTTGGAATTTAGCTTCAATTCTGACAAAATAAGTGCAGGAAGGTCTTAGCCTCAGTGTCCTAGGAATTGCAGACATGTTTTAATCGTGCGTTATGGCAGCAACAAAATACTACGAACAGCTGTTTATAATCATCTGGTTTATATGTACTGCTGCAGGGTGGCTGCACTCAACGAGTTTATGCAATGACTTTCTTGGATGTTTCTGAAGGATAATTGCACAGGAGGAGGATGTACAGAGAGTAGGCCCCTTGCACTATATGTGGTATATTCCACTTGTGCCTAATTATTAACTGGGATCTTTAATTGTTCTGAGCTTACGCTGCAAAGTGGTTTTTTCCTCCCAGAGTCTGGAAAGAGCAATGAAAGGAAAGGCGGTCGATCTCGCTCCCACACTCGCTCAAAGTCCAGGTCTAGCTCAAAATCCCATTCTAGAAGGAAGAGATCACAGTCAAAGCACAGGTGAGACTCTATACTATCAATGTTTAATGTTTTGTTTGTTTTGTGTTCCAAATAGTTAAGATGTCAAAGTATTAGAATTCAGAAATTTTCATTAGTGTTTGCTTACATGGTAGTATGCTTACTGTTAGCTAATGCTCTACCAATAGTGGTCTAGTTGTGGGTACACCAGTTACTGCCCTGCCCATTTCTTGCTTTATGTTCAAAGGAAAGAAAGTTTATCAAATTGGTTCTTTTCTCTTTGTTTGTTTGGTTAGTTTTTGAATTTTCGAGACAGGTTTTATCTGTAGCCCTGGCTGTCCTGGAATTTGCTCTGTGGACCAGGCTTGTCTTGAATTCAGAGATTGGCTTCCACCTCCCAAGTGCTGGGATTAAAGGCATGTACCACTGCTGCCCAGCTCAAATTGTTTCTTAATTTTTCATATTTTTTTTAAAGATTTATTTATTATGTATACAACATTCTGCCTCGATGTATGCCTGCACGACAGAAGAGGGCGCCGGATCTCATTACAGATGGTTGTGAGCCACCATGTGGTTGCTGGGAATTGCACTCAGGACCTCTGGAAGAGCAGCCAGTGCTCTTTAACCTCTGAGCCATCTCTCCAGCCCCCATATTTTAAATCTTTAATTTTAGAAGTGTTTTTCGTATTTGCGTATGTTTTGTACTTGATTTTTTTGTAAGCTAGCCTTTTACACATACTTAGCAGGAAGTGTTTTCCTTGTACATTCTGAGAAATGCTAATGCTGGAGCAGTGCTCAGGGTCTCCAGGCAGAAATGGCGCTGGAGAGGTAGCAGAGAGTTCTACATCTGCCTCCTCAGGCAGCAGGAAGAGAGAACAGCACTATACCTGGCTTGAGCTTCTGAAACCTCAACCCACCCCACCTCTAGTGGCATACTTCCTCCAGTACCTCCTAAAAGTACCACTCCTTATTGGCCACCACAATGCCTGACATGTAGTGAGTCTTCATTGTTGCCGAGTCACTTGTGTCGTGAGAGAATGACATAGATGTGTGCATGCATGTGCAAAGTAGGGGAATTAAAGGAGGAGGACTTGAGAAGCTACACACACCTTCCATCTTGTTTCTATTTCTGTGGTGATGAAGGAGATTCAAAGATAAGATGGGAAAATAGAGTGTTGTTCTTTGACTTTGGTAAACTGTATTTCTGGCCCTTTTAATGGTATGGTACATACATAGTTTACAAAATCTCCTTTGAGGACTTTACTGTCTCCAAGCTCTTATTGAGGTAAGCTCAAAATCAAATGCCTTATATTTAAGCCACTGTGGTCTACATAGTGAGTAAATACCAGATTTGCCAAACCTACATTATCTCAAAAATACCCAGAAAATAAGTGCAGTAGGGACCAGAGTCAAAGCAGGAAAGTAACACAGATACAATAGTATAAGACCAGGATGTATGATGGATGGATTCCCACATTTTGACAGGATAAATAAGATTGAGGAAATAGGAAGCTGCTGAAGAGTAATAAAGACTGATGTCTTAGTAAAGGTGTCTGTTGTTGTGAAGAGACACTGTCCACGGCAGCTCTTATGAAGGAAATATTTAATTGGGGTGACTCACTTAGAGCTCAGTGGTTCAGTCCATTATCATCATGGTAGGACATGGCTCCGTACAGGCAGACGTGGTGCTTGAGTGGTGCTTGAGAAGTAGCTGAGAGTCTTAAGTCTTGCAGGCAACAGGAAGTTGACTGAGACACTGGACAGTATCCTGAGCATAGAAACCCTCAAAGTGCACCACCACAATGACACTCTTCCTCCAACAAGGCTGTACACTTCAACAAAGCCACATCTCCTAATAGTGCTAGTCCATATGAAATTAGGCCAGAGACATTCAAACCACCACAACTAGTTTCCTAAGTCTTGTTTTGAATGGTTATAAAGGAGATCCAAGCTCTAAGGTTGAGATAAATTAAAACTTGTTCGTTAACATCAGTTTCTTTGATAATTCATGAAACTTTACATGCTTTTAAAAATTAGGGCAATAACTAAGGTCTTTGAATTTGCATACTATTTTCTCCCTCTAGGATAATGGTTCTTAACCTGTCTTCTTGGGTCACATATCAGATATTCACATTACAATTCGTAACAGTAGCAGAATTACAGTTATGAAGTAGCAGTGAAATAATTTTATGGTTGGGGGTCACCACAACATGTGGAACTGTATTAAAGGATCATAATATTAGAATGGTTGAGAATCACTATTCTGTTTATTATTTATAAATTGAAATTTGGCAGTTCTTGATATTCATGACTGAACTTTCATATAGTTGCATTTGAGGCTAATATTAGAAATAAGTGGCTCTTCATACACACATACACACACACATACATGACCAACATATTTTACACGTGCATGTTGAAATAGGCTAAAGACAAAAGAGAATGAGTTACCTCTGAAATAGAGGCATGGGATCATTCATTAAATACATAAGACTTGGGGGTTTTGACCTGAAAGAATCTTCCTACACTTTCCCCTACTCCTCAGCTGACTTAGCAGGATAGTGTAGATTATAATGTCAGCTGTTTCTAGAACTTTGCTTCCCCAGGCAGAAAGCTATTCCCATGAAAGAGCTTCAAAAGTTGCTCTCCTATAAGTGCAGGACCATTTATCTACAAACAGCAATGTAGAGATTGCTAAAGCATATAACTTGTTCCCCTCAGGACTCAAAAGCAGTTTGCAAGGAAGCCAGTATTAAAGACAATTGGTGATATGAAAACTCAGGCAAAGGAAACGGTCTCTAGATTTGAGGCTTGTAATGCTGTGATGAAAGGGAAAGCTATCCCTGAAAATACTTCCTCTGATAGGAAATAACCATTAAATTATTTTTGTTTTGTGTCCTACACAATAATATAGCTGGTAAATTTTCCAATAAATTAATTTCTGGTGTTATAACTAAAACATTATAGAAGGCTCATTTAAAAACTAAACTTTTTGCAGTTGAAATTCTAAGTTTTGATCTCCTTACAATTTGTTTTTCTTTAGAAGTAGATCTCATAACAGGTCACGTTCAAGACAGAAAGATAGACGTAGATCCAAGAGTCCACATAAAAAGCGCTCGAAGTCTAGGGAGAGGCGGAAGTCAAGGAGTCGTTCACGTTCACGGTGAGTTGCAGAGATATAAAGAAAATTTAAAATTTATCAGTTCTCAGTCATTTGAAATTGTGGTTTAGGTTTATCATGAGAGAAATAAGGCTTTCTTGTTTCTTTAGTGTCTAGGATTAATATTGATTGCCTCTGATGCAAATATGATCAGTGTGATTCAGGTCAGCCTGGTAATTGTCTACTCTGTAAGCTCAGGTCCACATTCGAGTTACACAGAAATTTCTAATGTCTGTAGCCATTGCAGATGATATTGTATTGGTAAAGGTCTCTCTTTTTGAGATAAAATTCTTTGAGCTAAGAATTTATTTGTTTTTCAAGGGACAAGAGAAAAGATACCCGAGAAAAGGTGAAGGAAAAAGACAGAGTGAAGGAGAGAGAGAAGGAAAAGGAGAAAGAGAAAGAGAGAGAAAGGGAAAAGGATCGTGAAAAAGACAAGGAACGGGGTAAAAACAAAGATAAAGACCGAGAGAAGGAAAAGGACCAGGAAAAGGAGCGGGACAAGGACAAGGAACAAGACAGAGACAAGGAGCGGGAAAAAGACAAATCCAAAGAGGCGGATGAGAAACGGAAGAAGGAGAAGAAGTCCAGAACTCCACCCAGAAGTTACAATGCATCAAGAAGATCTCGTAGTACCAGCAGGTTTGTGTGTGCATAGGCCCACATGCCTGTGGTTGTTTGTGTGTGGAGGTTATAGGGCAACTTGTGGTCTGTGTGTCTTCCTCCCCAGTACTGGCATTACAGATGCATGCTACCATACCCTGTTATGGTAACTCGAGTGCTGTGCTTTTCCATTTGGACTCTGGAGGTAGAACTCAGGTCCTCAGGTCCTCGTGTTTGCACTACAAACTCTTTACTGACTGAGATATCACTGCACCCTGCTTCAACTCTTTCCATGAGGTTGCTGGTGATCAGTGAGTACATTTTTAATCAAGGGGGAAAGATTATTCTATGCAAGTATAAAAGTAGTAACATTTACTCTTAATTGAACAACAGAGGGGTCACTACATCATTGAACCTCCTGGGTGAGATATTTGGACTGACTTAGCTGTCTTTCATAATGCAGTATTTAAATAATATTACTTACTATTTTTCCTAGAGGATGACATGTGATGGGGAAGATGTTTTTCTATTTAAAATTCTTTTTTTTTTTTAAAGATTTATTTATTATGTATACAGTGTTCTATCTGTATGTATGCTTGCTGGCCAGAAGGGGCACCAGATCTCATTGCAGATGGCTGTGAGCCACCATGTGGTTGCTGGGAATTGAACTCAGGACCTCTGGAAGAGCAGGCAGTGCTCTTAACCTCTGATCCATCTCTCCAGCCCCTCTATTTAAAATTCTTATGTGTAATAGTTGACCTTCGAGGCTTTGGTGTTTCTCTAGAATGGTGTGGTAAATCTTAGCATGTCCTAATGATATCTAAAGTTCTAGTGTGAGTCCTTTCTGTCATCTTGAGTTAACTTTTACTTCTGTTATGCTTTGTGTATGACATTTAAGTTTTGTTTCTTGATGTTTTAAGGATTAGATTTTAGCATTGTTGTTTCCACTTATTAATAGATACACTGCCACCAGGTGGCAGCAGGTTGCTATAGTAACAGCTACAAAATGAGAATATTCCTCTAGGTTCTTTAACCCTCTTACCCCTTATTTCAGATTGTTCTATGATAAGTTAAGCTTAGTCTTTTAAAAATATTTAAAAATAACGGTTTCAACTAATTTTAAAGTTGGCTTTTTAATTGCAAACAAGTTGATAAAGGAATATATTTCCTTTTTTAAAAAAGAGTTACTTAATGGTGTTTTTTTTTTAAAGATTAATTGTTTATTATGTATATAACACTCTGTCTCCATGTATGCACACATGCCAGAGGAGGGCGCCAGATCTCATTACAGATGATGGTGAGCCACCATGTGGTTGCTGGGAATTGAACTCAGGACCTCTGGAAGAACAGCCAGTGCTCTTAACCACTGAGCCATCTCTCCAGCCCAATGGTGTATTTTTTTATGCTAGCCTATTAAAAGATACTAAAAGCTAGTTGCAGTGTTTATTGGGAGTTGTTGTAAGAGGACAGTTCTAGTTCTTGGCTGACTTTGATGTCTCACCTTGTTTAGTCCTTCCAGCAAGCTGGTGAGACTATTACAACCTTGGTAAAGACAGGCCTTTCCCTTGCCCCCTGCTCTGCTGTCAGAAGTGGAATGCCTTGTTTTCTTCATTTAAGAAAGTGTGAAGTGGCCAGGCACTGGTGGTGCATGCCTTTAATACCAGTGCTTGGATGGCAGACGCAGGCGGATCTCTGTGAGTTCAAGGCCAGCCTGTTCTACAGAGTGAGCTCTAGGACTGTTTCACAGAGAAACACTGTCTCTGGAAAAAAAAAGAAAGAAAGAAAAAGAAAGTGTAAAGTATTTGTGCCCACTTTTGAAAAACTGCCACAGACTATGAAGTTGAAATTAATAATATCTGTCAGGATGGGTTTCTTGAAATAGAAACAGTGAAGCAGACTTATAGCCTTTGCCTTAGGGATCAGCTTAGACTGTCACTGCACCTTGCTTGCAAGTGAATTTGTTGATCATGCTCTGGGTACCTTTATATCAATGTATGATTCAGATATTCTGTTTACAGCATCAAATGATTGGAATTAATAACATAACCGTATAACTGCATTTTCTCACCTTTTAGCAGGTCCCTTCTTTTCTAATGTTCTGATTTGTTTATTGAGTGGGAAACAATTCTAACTGATCAAAAAAGTCTACTTCATGCTTTTATATTTAACATTGCCTCCTATTCTGTATTTTCAAAGAAAAATTGGTGGCTTAAAAAACTGTTTAATGGTGGCCGGGTGGTGGTGGTGCACGCCTTTAATCCCAGCACTGAGGAGGCAGAGGTAGAGGGATCTCTGTGAGTTGGAGGCCAGCCTGGTCTACAAGAGCTAGTTCCAGAACAGACTCTAAAGCTACAGAGAAAGGCTGTCTTTAAAAACCAAAATAAGGGGGCTGGAGAGATGGCTCAGCGGTTAAGAGCATTGCCCGCTCTTCCAAAGGTCCTGAGTTCAATTCCCAGCAACCACATTGTGGCTCACAACCATCTGTAATGAGGTCTGGTGCCCTCTTCTGGCCTGCAGGCATACACACAGAAATAAATAAATAAATATAAAAAACGAAAAAATAAAAACCAAAATAAATAAATAAAGTTTAATGCAGCCAGGCATGGTGTCACATATGTTTAATCCCAGCACTTGGGAGGCAGAGGCAGGTGGCTTTGTGAATTCTAGGTCAGCCAGGGCTACACAGAGAAACCCTTCTCAAAAACATAAACAAATACCAATGCTTGGAAATTGCTTTGAAGAAAGGATAGGGAAGGCAGAAAGAGTGGGTCAGTGCTTTCTACCATACGTGAGTAGATTTGGGTTTGATTTCTACAACATTCTGTTCGCGCTCCCTATAAGAAAAAAAAAATCTGTCTATTGAGCACCTGCTATGTGCCAGGCTCTGTTCCTAATACTTTACAGGTGCTATCCGCTAGCCCTCCAATAACCCTGTAAGTCTTGAATTGTCTGTATTTTCTTTGTTTCCGTTAGGAAAAGTAGACCCAGTTTAAACAGTAATTGTGTTGTTACAGATCTTTGCTTTTTTTTAGTCCTTTAAAATGGCAATGATGTGCAACTAATAATCCATGCGCTTAAATTTTATGAAAGAAAATTAAAAGCAATAGTAAGGAAGACTTGGATTTTAGAGGATTGCTGTTTTGGTTGTGTGGTCAGTGGTTATCAGAGCTGCTGCTTCTTTGCGTGTGTGTGGGATTGTGCACTTGTGTGTATGTGTTGCCATTAGAGGTCTCTGTCGATGTCTCCGTCTGTTGCTCTCCAGCTTATTTTTTGAGACAAGGTCTCACTGAACTTGAAACTCGCTGGCTAGCAAGTCTCCCAGTCCTCCTGTTTCTGCCTTCTGGTGCTGAATTACAGGTATGTGCCACCCTGCCTGGCCTTTTACATGGGTCCTTGGGCCACAAATACTTTACTTTTTCCACTGAAAAATCTCCTCAGCCCTTGTCAGAACTTCTTATATAAGATTATTGGCTATATTAATTAGTCATTTGATAAATATTTCCTGATACCTCATCCCTTAGGCATTGTGAAGTTTATTTTTTGACTACTATTAAAAATGATACAGTTTAGAATGTGCATTATATATTAATGTTAAATTTTTTTTTATCACTTATCTTTCTTTTTGGTAATTATTTCCTTACCTAAATTTCAGATTTTAACTACTTGTATAAATTGTTACATTGAGTTTTAAATTACTGGGACAATAGTAATGATAGCAAGCTAGAGGAGAAAGTGGTTTTTGAATAAGTTTCTTAAATGATTTTTCTGACACACCTCAACCCTAGCAAGATGGCTTATCTTTCAGTTTTGGCTGACTTTGTTATTTTTTTAAAAAATCTTTATGGAGGGGCAGAAAGGAAGAGCCAGAGGCACAATAGAGGATCTGATGCAAAAGATTTTAGTTGCTAAGAGAAGATATTTGAACATCTAATGAAACCCATCACTTTGTATACTAACTTGAAGAATTAGAAAGCATTTAAAGTACGTCAAATGAATTTCTCATGAAATTTTAGATGACGGTTTTGTCAGTGATAAAATTTATGGTTCATAATTTGTTCTGTACTAAAATCAGGTAATAAAACATGCTTGTAAAAAGAGTTTAATGGGCTCTTCGGGGGTTGGAGGAATGGCTCTTTGGCAAAGCACTTGTCTGTTTGGATTTGATCCCCAGAATCCCTTTAACTCCTCTCCCAATTATAAAAAAAATAAGCTAAACTGGTATTATAAGCAGATTTAAATGTCCGTTCTAAGGAGCCTGAGACTGGAATCAAGGTCTGGAAAACATTAAGAAGATAAAGTAACCAAACTAGTCTTAGAGAGATGTTCTCAGTGAATTGGGTACCCTTTTGCTTTATAGTTTGAACTGTTCTTTATTTCAGTTGCTGATTTTAGAAAATGACATGTTTTGTCTTTTCAGGGAAAGGCGGCGACGGAGGAGCAGGAGTTCTTCCAGATCTCCAAGAACATCAAAGACCATAAAGAGAAAGTCTTCTAGGTCTCCGTCTCCCAGGGGGTAGGTGGAAGCATTTGGTGAAACAAAATGTGGGAAAAAATTCCTTCTTTAATCTGCTTTCAAGTTATGTTTTTGAGTGGCTGATCCATTTGTATTCTTAAGAATTGATGTAAGATGTTGGTGTCTAAGACCATCAGCTTCCAGCCATGTGCCCATCCACTCAGTCCATGTAGGGACTGCTCCCTGCCTTTCCAGTTCTGTGTAGTTAACAAGATGGAAAAGTGTGAAAAAGGTGGGGACTATACTTTTCTGCCACTCTTAATTGTAAGATATGTCTCCATATGGTGAGAGAATGTCCCCTTTGCTTTTTATGATGTTGGGACTGGTTCTGTGGCAGTCCGGCTGACTTGAGTTCTATTTTCCTTCTGCCTTCTTCCCATTTGCTGTTTGCTTCAGCTTTTGTCTTTTTTTTTTAAAGTTAGGCAAATGGATATTTTCCAACTTTTTATTTCTCCACACAAAGGATAGCATATCCTTGTATATTTGTATGCTCAATGACTAGGCCTCATTGGTGTTTACATGTTAGACCAGACTAACTTTGAAACATGTCATGAACTGTCATGCCTGTTTTTGATTTTTGTCTTTTATTTTTTATTGTGTGTGATATACATGGAGGGGCATTCCTGTGCCACAGCATGTGTGTGGAAGTTGAAGGACATCTTTGTGAAATTTGTTCTCTCCTACTTGAATGTGGGTTCCAGAAATCGGACACATGGTTCAGGTCACTGGACTCTAGGCTGTTACTCTGAGCCATTTGATCAACCCTTTCATGTGTTTGGAGGTAACTTTTGTATATGGTTAGAGGTAGGTTTTCAGCTTCATTCTTTAGCACATGAATTTCAAGTTTTCCTGGCACCATTGTTGAAAACATCCATTTACCCATCTTGGAAACCATTTGATGTGGTATGTAAGAGTTTATTCTAGGCTTTCTATAGACTCATATGTTTGTCCTTAGCACCATATTGTCAGTTAATGTAGTTTGTAGTCATTTTGAAATGAGAAATTGTGAGTCACCTAACCCTGTTTTTTCTTTTGCTTTAAAAATATTTATATACTCTTTGATTTTATCTGTGTGTGCCTGAGTGTTTGTATGTTCACACATGTGCAGGAACCTGTGAAGGTGGGAAGAGAATGTCAGCTTCCCTGGCACTGGAGGTTGTGAGCCATGTGAGTGCTGGAAACCAAACAGGGCTCTTCTGAGAGCACCGAGTGCTCTCAACGACTCTGCCGTCTCTCCAGCCTCCACTTTGCTCTTCTTTAAAAGAACATTTTGGCTATATGGAGAGCCTTCAAGATGTCACATGAGTTTTAGGACAGGTTTTTCCTGTATCTGCTGCTTAATGCTGTTAGTGGTTTTTGTAGGAATTGCATTGAGTCTGTACATTGTTTTTGCTGGTGTTCTTAATGGCATTCAAGTCTTCTGAGTTCTTTCATTACTGTGTTATGGTGGTAGGATACAGATTGTTTTGTTTTTGTTATTTTTAGTTAAATTGATTGTATTTTCTTAAAATTTTTATTTGTAATCATATGTATGTGTGTGTCTGTGTATTTCTTCATGTGCACACAGTGCCTGTAGAGTCCCGAAGAAGATGGGGAGTTACAGGCAGTCGTGAGCTGTCTGACTGGAGTTCTGGGGACTGAACTCCAGTCCTCCGGAAGAACAGTACTTAACTACTGAGCCACCTTTCTAGCCCTTGCATTTTATTGTTTATGTTGTTCCTTTGTATTGTTCCTTAGATTTTGAAGCCGTATATGAAGACACATAATACACACAAAAATGCTTTCTTTTGAAGACCTAAGGTTTTGCTTTGTAGTTTTTTTTTTTTTTGCTTTGTTTTGCCTGTAAGGTTTCTTGCAAACAAATTTACAGATTTTTTTTGTTTGTTTTATGTATTTGGAGGTTTAGTTGTGACCAAAACTTCCTCTCACTTAGAATTCATCCAGATTTGCTTCCAGTATATAATCATTTCATTTAAAAATAAGTTGGGTCTCTAAACCATTTATTTGATTTCTTTTATGTAGAATAGCATGTGGATCCTACTTTATTACCAGTCGTCCCCAAACCTTCTATGATAAAAAATGGTTTTCCACAGTGGCTTTAAATGTTACCTTTTTAAAGCTACTAATAAGGAACTGCTCTAGTTCTGTTTTAGAGCTATCTCAGCTAGATCGGAGTACTTAGGTTTCTCAAATAATATGCAGAATTTCCCCTCTATAATCTTAGGAGTTTGTGATTTTGTTTTTCAAGTAGTGTAGTGGTTTGTGTGTTCTGGGTTTGCTTTTGAGTTGGTGCTTCTTGTTTCTAATAGTAGATGAGGTGGGCAAGTGACGTAGTAGGTTACTTGAAATTCGAAGTTTTGCTAGTATCTATTCTCACACATCTGATTCTCTGTCCTTTTATTCTCTGTTAAACTTTTTTTTTTTTTCCCTATTTTGTGTGGATGTGTGAGTCAGAAGATAGCCTAGGGACAGTTGAGTCTCTCCGATCTTGTAGGTCTCAGGTCTCAAACTCAGGCTATTATGCTTGATGTCAACTAAGCCATCTCGCAGGTCCCTTTTTATTCCCTCTTGAATGTTCATATATTAAGTTGAGAATGTGCATATGAAAGTGTTATATAATAGTATATTTAGAGATTCAGTGGAAGGGTTCCCTTACCAGGAAGAAAAGCGTCTGTGTTTAGTTCAGATGCAACTTTTCCTCCATATTGTTGATTTGTGGTTGGGTGAATCTAGGGACAAGGAATCATTAGAGTGTAGACTGACTATAGTTTGTTTTTATCTCAACCTTCTTCTAGTAGAGAAAGTGTATCTTGAGCATTTAAAAAGTAGTAGGTTGACAGTACAAGTTGTCTTTTATAGGAACACATTGGTGGCTGCTGAGCAGAGGTGGAAAGAGGTCAGGTTGTAGACCCATCTTTGTTACTTTCTCAATCCAGTTTATTATTATGCTTATTTACGATGCCTTGTTTTGGATAGCCAGTGTTAGATAAAGGACTGTTTTCAAGAGTACAGTGGGTCTTTAAATTCTTGAAAGATAACTCCTGTGTTTTCAACATAGCCGAAATAAGAAAGATAAAAAGAGAGAAAAAGAACGGGACCACATCAGTGACAGGAGAGAAAGAGAGCGTTCCACGTCTACAAAAAAGAGTTCTAATGACCGAGATGGGAAGGAGAAGGTGGAGAAGACCAACACACCGGTTAAGGTGAGCTCCTCAGCCAGGGCCCAGGGCACTGCTGCCTTACCTGTAGATTCCATTTCAGAGAGATGAGGACCTGTTGAGACATAAGCAGCTTAATCCCTTATTTGGAGAATCAGTAAGTAATGTACTGTGAGAAAATTGTAGAGAACTTCTGGGTAACAAGTATACTAGATGTTTATGATACTGAGGTTGAATTTGTGTCTGATGCTGTTTTCCTCAGCATATATTTGAGCAAATTTGATGAGATTTTGTTGTCATTGATTTTTGTAATATATAGTTAAGCTTAGATTTGTTCACATAATAATTTGTTCACATAATTAGATTCGTTCAAATATGTAATATATAATTGAAAACTATATTCCTTTACCAGTACAGAATTGAAAACTAAAACTCTCTAAACTTTTTCTTGGAAATTGAAAGTACTTGCGAATTTTGTCAGGTCTCTTTACTGTCTTGTATAATTCTATTTGGAAATACAGGTTCTGGAATTGGCTTTGCTACTGATGGAGGGTTGTCATCATTAGTAACATTAGCGTTATTTATTAAGCATGTATTCCTTGTTAGGCATTCCTTGTTCTCCTGTAATTCTTCCTTATGCCTCGGCAGAATTTGTACTGCTTTTGAAGGCTTTTCTAAGAGGAACGGTGGCTTCCTTTGTACGTGCTCACACTTATTTCTTGTGGTGTTTTGGAAAGTGCTTTGTCTTCTGGGGGCTTTTACAAGGCTGTTTGTGAAGAGCTAGAATTTCTGTTTACCTGTTGTACTCTGATTCTGTTACCATGAGTTGCCCATCTTTTGTTGGAAATAACTTACAAGGAGCAAATTGATACATGTTCTTTCATGGATTTTTAATGAAAGAAAACAATACGGTTTTATTCACAAGAGAGAGTTGAATCATTTAGCCATACATAATTAGAGACAATTATTGTGCAAAATAGTGAACATGCACTTGATATTTGTTGTAGAAGGAACACAGTAAAGAGACAGATTCAAGTGTGAGCAAAGATGCTGACGAGAAGGACTCCCCAAGGACTGAGGAAGAAAACAAAGTGCAGCAGAATGGGAATTGCCAACCAAATGAAGAGAACAAAACCGACGTGGCATAGGACCGCCCGCTGCAACTCTCCCTCCACGGTGGGATCAAAACCCAAAGCGTTCAGTTTGCAGCAAGGTGTACATGGGGAAGAAACCCACATATGGGAACTAGCAGCTCTTCCGGCTATGAGGTGACATTGTGGACATCATGGAAATAATCAGATGTTACCCAAGTGCACCATCTTCTGAAGTCTGCATTTCCTTGGTGGCTGGCACACTTGTCATGTGGTTCATTAGTGTTTGCCAAGAAGCATTGCAAATCAATTGAACATCAGAGGTCCAGAGTTGAACTATCCCTTAAGACTGGAGATGAACATTGGAGGCTCCTAAAGAAAATGCTAGTTATTGAATTTTGTATTGTTTTACTTTTTTAAAAAAATTTTCAATATATACAGTTTGATGATGTGCTTGAAATTTGTGCAAATATATATACACACTCTTGTAAGTAAAGTGCAAAATATGTAAGGAATTTTAACATTTACTTCACAGGACTTAACAGTGATTGTGGTAAATTCTCACTATTGTGTTTTCTTTTGCTCAATGTTTTGGACGTCAATTTTTCTTTAAAACAGTTTTACAGATTAAAATTGCTTAAATAAGTGGATTAAAAACCAACTGACAATGCATGCTACTGTTTGAGAAGAAGAGCAGCTGTCGAATACTAATAACAACGTGTTAGTATTCAGTGTTTAGAACCATTGGGTCTGCCACAAAATGAGCATTTCTTCTTGAACTTTCTTTACATTTCCAAGCTCATGAATAATACTGCAGTGTGACTTGTCAACTGTAGGCGGCAAGATGCCCTTATAAAAAGGAGACTGAGTTTTCAAAATGGGCTATGGGAGCACAAGCTGAAGCTCTAGTGCCTTCTGCAATGTGTGGTGTACTGCTTTCTGGGATTTTATATGTGCTAGTCATGCTCAATTCGTATGGAGTCTAGATGGCTATATTCTGTTCACAACCATTGGGAAGTGTGCGAGGGCTGTGTCAGAAGCTTTTTCATTCAGTTAAGAGAAGAAAGTCCTGTTTATAAGACTTGTGAAGTTTCAAACAACAGCGTAGTTTTGGGACCACCAGTTTTCTACTGTGATGATTGAAAAGGAAATACTTCAAATCAGAGGAAACTTATTATTTGACTTAATTGGATGGCCTTAATATTACCTCGCAATCATTTCTTCTAATGATACAGAAATTATACTTAAAGGAAGGACTAGGAGCATACAGAGGTGGTTTTTGTTCAATGATATGCTTATGCAAGTTTAAGATACACGGTCATCCACCAATCTTAGACTCAACTTTTCATAGACGGTATGGTATGCAAGTAGTAAAATGAATACTGCTCATGTTTTCTGCAAAACTATAAATTCTAGTTAATGCACTATTCATTGTTACATTTTCAAAAAAAAAACCAGAAACACTTCATTCATAAATCTTACTTTAAAATCAATTTTAATTTTATTTAATACAACCTAAACAATCAAATTACTCAGTTGCCTTACCTCATGGGAAGGGTTACTGTCACAGATTTAAAAAGTCAAGTAGCACTTTAGTTGCTTGGTTCCAACTTGAGTCTTGTTTTCATATTAATACTGTTGAAACTATAATTAGAAGAATAGAAAAGCCCTTTCTGCAAGTCATAAAGCCTGGTTCGATTATGAAGCTGCTTAATCATCTTCAGGTGTTCAGATTACTGTGTGTATGTGTGTGTTTTCTTTTCTGTCACTGTGTACATTAAACTTTTGGAAAATGCTTTACTATGTAAAGTATAAATGGCCATTTTAATCGTTTAGCCACATACAGTTGGCTAGTAACAGCTTATTCTGATAGAGAAATGCTTGGGTGCCTGTGGAAAGATTGTGAAGGAGTGTGTCTCACTTCAACCGCTGTCTTATTTATGATATGTAAGTAGACTAGAGCAAATGTTTGAATCTTTGCTATTTTTAGGACCATTTCTCTAATAAAGTTCAGTATTTTAGAGGAGTCTTCAGTTTCATCCCGCTCTTGTTTTGCATGGCACACAGAGGGTTGTGACGTGGCCAGAGCAGCCTTGTGCACTGTCTAAAACAGCCCTTTAAATGAGGTTGAGGTGTTTTCCTGTCCTCTGCACTATTCAGATGTTTTCATGGTGGAAAATAGCATTATTCTACCACTAATTACTCTTTATGTAGGTATTTATTTTACTCAAGTAATCACTAACGTAGAAGAGGTTTACAAATTCAGAATAAGTAGGGTTACAAGAGAAAGTAAAGTCAGAGGCTGTGGGATTGGTGTGTGTGTGTGTGTGAGAGAGAGAGAGAGAGAGAGAGAGAGAGAGAGAGAGACACATGCAGGGAGGCAACCACACATGTTCTTTTTTTTTTAATTATTCATTTGCTGTTTTCTATTAAGGTATTCTATTTCTTTAAAGAATATTGTCAACCATGTTGTGGTGGCGCACGTCTTTAATCCCAGCACTCTAGAGGCAGATGCAGGTGGATTTCTGAGTTTGAGGCCAGCCTGGTCAACAGAGTGAGTTCCAGGACAGCCAGGGCTACACAGAAAATCCCTACCTCAAAAAACAAACAAATATTGTCACTCGAGATACTGTCAGGAAAACCTGAGGTAAGATAAGAGAAGCTTCTCCCTCTGACAGCGAGTGTGGTGGTTCCTCTCCTCTCTCTGGACAGGATCTGATACTGTGATGTCTTCATGTGCACACTGACCTGGTGGCTTTACAGGTAGACCGCAACAGGTCCTTAACTTCTGTGACTATTGCCATCATTGCCGTTTAATCTAGTTAATTTAGGCAGGAAAACACTATTCAGCCAGTAATCTCCCATGTTTAGAATTCTTTTCTGGACAGATTCAGTGTTTTTTATGTATTTAACTTTATGTTAGAGAATTAAATTTTGGTATACTTAGTTACAAATAAAAACCAATGTTTATAATTGAGATGTTTATTTATTTATTTTTTGGCAGAGGGGCAAGAAAAGTTTCTCTTAGGATACTAATTCCTTTGTGTTGCTTTTATTTTCGGATTTTTAAAAAGACCCGACTTTTTATCTACACCTGTCTTAACCTATGAGAATATTTAACTTTAAGGGTTATGGAGCTCACTAGTAGGCTTTAAAATATTTCTCATTTATAGTGCATAACAGATGGAGTATGATTTCTTTTCATGTTGGTTGAGTTAGCAACTAGCATTAGTGTTTGGAGGGATGCGTTGGGTAAGGGCATATCTGGGCGTCATTGGAAAGAGGGTTGGTTGAACCGAGTGGATTGTGACAGGGAAATGCAGTGATGGTTCGTTACATATGTTTTCCCGCCAAGATGGCTTCTCATGTTTACTTACTAATAGTCAAATTATTTTTAAATTCCAGGTTTAGTGCTCTTCAAAAGGCTTCATCCTATTTCTGGAAATAGGAGTCTACTATAAATGTAACAAAATAAAACTTGTTTCCTACTTAATTTGTAGGTCAGCTTTTCTGTTCCTTTTGTTTCTTATTGTACAGTTAATGCTGTTTTCACCTGTGGCATGAATGATATATAATTAAAAGATTAGAAAATAAAGCCATTTGTGACTTTTGGTCCATAATCAGGTTAGAGTTAGTAATAGATCTTCTTACAAACTACGCTAAGATACTTTTGTAGTTTCTGGAATTGATTGTTTATAGTTGATTCTTTTTTTTTTCCTTCTGGGTGTTGGGGATTAAACCCAGGGCTTCAAAGTACTCTCTTTCTCACTGAACTGCAGCCCAGCTTATAACAATTTTTTAAACATAGATTTTTAGTCTTTAGCCCGATACTTAATTTTATAGGCAGCTAACACTTTAATTTGGAAAATGACCAGTTTGGGAGATAAGACATATAAATTCCAGGATCAAAATGGGGTAGCGGTCTCTGTAGTCTTTTTTTTTTTTTGTTTGTTTGTTTATTTGTTTGTTTTTCGAGACAGGGTTTCTCTGTGGCTTTGGAGCCTGTCCTGGAACTAGCTCTAGCTCTGTAGACCAGGCTGGTCTCGAACTCACAGAGATCTGCCTGCCTCTGCCTCCCGAGTGCTGGGATTAAAGGCATGCGCCACCACCGCCCGGCGCAGTCTCTGTATTCTTGACAGAATACAGACATTTGCTGAGAGACATTTCTGACTATGGGTAAGTTCAGATTCATCAAGCTCATACTAAGAGAATTGTAGGATTTTACTAGTAAACAGGACCAGTGGGCAGCACAGAATTGAGGAATAACGCAGAGGACTGATTTCCATACAAGATTGAATATACTGTGTAACTGTATAGGTCAATTTAGTAGTTAAAAATACTCTCTTGGTCTCAAGTAGTTTAATAGAACAGTGCTGTCGATCATCAGGGGAAAAGTTAATGTAAGCATAAAGATACTGCCTAGATGTGTCTGTGAGGAGGACTGCTTTTACATGGTACTAGTAAAAGAGTTATCAATAGTTGCTGCTATCATGTTGCTATATTTTTAATAAAATGAAAATATTGAAGTTCACTGTTGTGTAGTAATTTCATGTTTGGGCCAGATATTTGCATATTCACAGCTTGTTTTTATAACAGAAACGTGATTTTCTCTTCCAGAGTTGAGAAATGACCACCCAGACAGGTTTTCACATATTGGGAACCCTGTCTTATGGTAACTATAATCGAGGCTTTCCATATCAAGCATTTGGTGGTAGTCTCAGTGATAGCTGCTTGGAGTCTCTTTTGTTCATGGCATCCACTTCCTGGAGATGCCGCCATGTCTTAATAGCAAGTGGAATGCTTGCTCTGATTTTGGGGAAATGCAGTTCTCCATGAGGCCAGTGAATTGTGTGCTGAGGGTGGCCTTGGAAGTGAGACTAACCAGTTAGTCAAATTGCCTCCTTAATAATAAATTAACTAGACCTGTAAAGATGGTTCAGCAATAAGAGCATGTGCCAACAAGCCCTGAGACCAGAGTCATTCTCTAGTCTTGTTTGCATGGTGTGTGTGTATAGCAAATGCAGTAGACCGCCAGCCATGTAGATTTAGAATTTAGTGTGACCTTGTGGCTTGACTGGCCCATCCATGATGAGTGAGGCCCTTGTCTTAGCTGCCCTCTCAGAGGAAACTAGGCCGTTTGGTTTTCCGGTGGGTTATAAAGCATATGCAGGGGCTGGAGAAGCTTTCTGGGAACAGACATAGGCTGCAGTATGTGGTTCTTACTGTTTGACTTCATATATAGGTACACCAAGTTAGAGTAGCCACTTCTGACAGACACTGGATCATAAGTATAATTATAGTATTATAATGTGTTTTTATAATAGAACCTTTTTTTAAACATTAGGAAAACCAGCCTAACTGCAAATGACTAGCTAGTTCTCTTTAGAGTATGCTCCTGTGTTTAATGTGTTAGTCACAGTGTGCTCAGCTGGAGGTCCTAAGTGGAGTCACATAGGCAGGGCCTTTCCTACTTCCTCTCCTAAGCTCCAGTCTCCAGTTATTTGTCAGTGTTACAAGACTGGGTAGCTTACTAGTGACATCCACTGTTCTTTCTACAAACTTTATGATCATAGTGTGTGCCTCGGCTCTTCAGTTCACCAGTACCATCGTCCATTTTAATTCTCAATTGCCACATCGATCTTTGAAGTGACATGACCCTCATTCACCTTTGCTAAGTCTCTCAATTCTGGTTTCCTCTGAAAGGCCCTTGTTTGTTGTTTTGAGACTGAGTCTTGTGTAGTCTGTCTGAACCTGAACTCTTGGGCTGTCAGGCCTCACCACTGCCCAGTCCACCCTCGCCCCAAATATCTCAACACTCCTTTTATCAGAAATGATTGTAGATACATGGGATAATTCCTCTGGCAGAAAGGTAATTATTACAGTATTGAAGTTAAGTCCTTTTCATTTTAATTTATTTCAGTAGAGTCCTAATTGGTCTGACCCCGAGTTATTTCAGTGTATGTTGTTACTTAATTAACCTTTAAACTGGCCAGGCTTTCTCATTTTGATAAAAGGGTCGTGTTAATCTAATTGCTTAAGTTAAGTGTTCCTTCATCTTTAATTTTCTGAGAGGATTTGTATTTTATTGTTAAGTGTAATTCCCCAGTGAAGCTATTTGAGCCTGAAATATTATTTATAACCCATTGGTGTGTGTGTGTGTGTGTGTGTGTGTGTGTGTGTGTAGGTTGGAGGACAACTTGAGGGAGTCTGTTCTTTCACTACATGGGTCCTGGGAATTAAACTTAGGTTCCCAGATGCCTTTATCAGCTGACCCATCTCACAGTGGAGGTTTTTTTTTTTTTTTATTTTTATTTTTATTTTTTACTTAAAATTCAGTATTAACAAGCAGACTTAGGGTTACTTATGGTATTTAAAATAAGCTGTTGTGTGATTCTTTTTAAATTTATTTATGTGAAATTGTTCGCATTTTCTTTAAACATGTTAGATTTGTTGTGGGGTCCTCATTGTTAAGCTTTTTATTTGGATCAGTTTAGTAGGACACTTGTCAGTTCTTTTTTCTCAAGTCACATTGTTTTCATTGTCTTTCTGTAGTTTTGTGTTACAGGGTTAGGTGTTTTGTTACTTTTTATCTTTATTTTCTCCCCCTAAAGTATGAATTGGAGCCCTTGACTTGAGACCTTTGCTGTACTGACATTTTAATACCCTGCATCTGCACAAATCTCAATATATTGTTTCTTTGTTGTCATCAATTCAAAACGCTCAGAATTTCCATGGGTTTTGTTTTTAACTCATGGGTTATTTAAATCTGTGTTATTTACTGTCAAAATATTTGGAAAATCCCTAAGATCTTTCTTTTCTTTTTTTTAAAAAAATCTATCTTAATTCCTTTGTAGTTAGGAAACATTTGTATGATTTTATTCCTAATTATTTTTGTTTAATGGTTCATAAATTCCATTTGGTAAGTGTTCTCGTGTACTTGTTATAAAGATGTAACTTGTAACTTCTGTTCTTTTATATTCTTGTTAATTTTGTTTGCTTTCTGTCAGTGAGAGGTCTTAGT